AGGCATCCGAACACCCCCTACCCTGCTGCCGCCACCACTTACCCTATTTTTGTAGGGTAATATTGTTATGTAGTCAAGACTATATATTAGATATGATTGTAGGGAAAAGACCTCCCTGCGTGTATGTTAGATATGTCTTGTATATTTGTCTGTGATACAATAAAAAAATTTTAAAAAGAAGGAAAACCCATATTCTATTAATAATTGTGGAATAGAAGGCTAACAACATCGTTAGAATTAACTGCAAAGATTATAGGATGATATCAGTTTAAAAGATAGTTTTTGCCCACATAATAAAAGAATGGTTCCTACATGAGGCTCAAAACAACTATTCTTCTAAAAAAGGAAGAATTTGCATTCCTAGTTAAAAACTTAAGTCCTTACCTGGTCGGTGCCTATTGGCAGCCTCTGCAGCAGCTGAACCTCCTTGTGCCCTGCGAGCACCAAGTTTACCTCCTGTGCCACCGGGATAATGATAGATAACAGAGGCTGAGCACAGCCCTTCAAGAGCAGCTACAGAAAAAAAAACAATGTTTTATGTGGCAATCAAATCACAATCTACTCTTATAATGTATCGGATACACAGTCAATGCCAAAACAGACAGACAAACAAACCCTACCATCCTTTTCAAAGGGGAGGGGGGGCCAGTAAAGCATATATGCCTCAGTTAAATCCAGGCTGCATTACTGTAATGTGCTCTACATGGGGCTGCCTCTGGAAAGTGCTCATAAACTTCAGAGGTCCAAAACACGGCAGCAAGATGTTAACTGGGAATCACATAACCCCCTTGTTACAGTAGCTCTACTGGATGCTGATCTGTTTCAGAGCACAATTCAAAGTGCTGGTTTTAACCTATAAAGCCCTAAAGGCTGGGGTGCAACCTATCTCAAGTAGACCTGTCTAGATGGGTGGGGTATAAATCTAATAATAAAATTAAATAAATAAATCTCTAAGACTGCATCTCCCTTTATGAGTCTGCACAGGTGTTAACATCACCAGGGAAGCCCTTCTCTTGTTCCACCCACTTTCACAGGTATGTTTGCTGGTGACATGGAAGAGGGCTTCATCACCAGGGGAAGCCCTTCTCTTGTTCCAACCACCTTCACAGGTGTGTTTGCTGGTGACATGGAAGAGGGCTATCTCTGGTCCTGCTCCCAGACTTTGGAACTCCCTCGCACTGGAGACTGGGCTGGCACCATCTTTGCTGTCCTATTGCAAGCAAATAGTGCTACCTGTCGGCAGGCTTTCCCTTAATGACTGGCTCCTTGCGTGAGTTTTCTTAAATGGATGGTTGTGCCTCACTGCTTTGAATGTATTTGTTTTTTGTTGTTGTTGTTGTTGTTATTGTTGTTGTTTTGTTTATTTAAAATACATTGCCTTTCTCCCAAAGGATCCAAGGCAGGTTACAACATTTAAAAGAAACAAAATGTATTGTTGATGTTGCTTTTGTTTATCATCTTTTAGTGTGGTATTTGTACATTGTTTTTAGCTTTGAATATTGTATTCAAATTATGTAAGCTACCTTGGGTGCTTTTCAAAGAGAAAGCCAGAGTAAATAAATATTTTAAATACATAAAATAAATACTTACTGTATTTAAAACACTATGACTAGAAAACATAACGAAAGTTCTAAAAGTGAAGGTACACAGTTATTATAATTCCTATACGACATTAACAGTACAACTCATAACTTGAGCTGCTACCAGATTTCACTCCAATAAACTTCTTATGCAGAGAAAGCTAGAAACAAGACTGCCAAACCATGTCATGGTTGTTATATATTTTACTGTTCGGCAATCCTGTTCAGCCAAAGCAAAAAAACATTATGAAAGATAAACAACTAGGAAGTAAGCCTGCTGTTAAATGGAATCATGTCTACTCTCCTGTGGACTACTGTATATATAATTTCCAATGAAGAGTATGTGAAGCCATATGTGAATTAAAGACTTATTACGAATGTCAGAGTGATAGCCATTCCACTGGGTCTTTAACAATTATGTGTATTTTTAATATATCTCTCTAAAATGTACTTTCTTTTCTTAAAGTGAAACAGGTAAATAATGAATAAACTAGGGAGTGCACCACTGTTAAGTTTTTCAGTCATTCCTACCTCCAAGCCACAAAAAGTCATTGACAGAACGGAGCAGTTCCACAGCCATATGGTAATGCACAAGGGAATCTTGTAACATCCCAGCTTGTAGACACAGGTCACCAACATGCTTCCGCATCCGGCCCTGGCAACGCTTCTTATAATGTCTAGAATACAAAAGTATATAATGTGAAATTGTTTTCACTTACCACAGTGCACTAGAAAGCAGTGAAAATATTTACTTTAGCAATTTACTTATCACTACTAATCATTGCTCATTACCCATGAGCAAACAGACTAGCTGCAGCCATCACAATAAGGGTGAACAAAAAGAGAAAGTGTAGAACCAGTCACAATAGAAAAATATAAAATCATACATATGATGTACACCTATATCCTGTACATGTAATACTATCAATGGTTCTTTCAATGGAACATTTTTTTCTCCATTCCTCCTTGTCCTTTTTCCCCCCAACACTACTAGCTGACCTTTTGCTATTCAGGGACGAAGAAAGGAAAGGTATCATGCTATGGCTATGTCTGTTTCAAAGAATTTGAAGAAGCTTTAAAACAGAGGTTTCAAGATCAACAAACGACTTTCATTACGCTAAAATCTCATACTTGTTTCCCACATCATGAACTTTTGATTAATACTCTTACAGTGCAGATGGCTTGAATGGTTCTAGAATCTCTTAAAAGAAGCAGATCTCATTTTCTGCCTGCAGTGTAATTATAAACAGAAAAACCAATAATTTATCGCAGTGGTAGTTGCCAGGTAGTATGTTGAATGAAACAAAACATCCTCTCTCTCTCTCTCTCTCTCTCACACACACACACACACACACACACACACAGAGAGAGAGAGAGAGAGAGACTACTAGTTATACAACTACGTAACCTACAAATGAACACCAGTTTATGTTAGAAATGAACAATTCACATATATTTCCAGCTCTCACCTAAAACATACCACAAATCCATTGTCCTCAGTTAACCCCACAATACAACCATAGCTTGTTTGAACCATGAGATAGATTTAAAGGATTTAAACAAGACACTTCTTGAAATAAGATACCTACACCAGGATTTTTTTTAAAAAAGGGAATATTGTTAACCAAGCACAACCTTCCATAAGAAAAAACAACATCTACATTTTGTCATCTACATTTCCCTTTTAAACCATTCAAATGGATACTCAGTGGTCTTTGGACTATCTTGGACAACAGATAATGGAATCTTATGGCCTCTGTGAGGCAGTTCTGTACTTGCTTAATACAACTGATCAATTTGAAAGCTAACTTGCCATCAGCAAAAAACCTCACAACAGCAATGCAGATATAGGAATCAGACTGCCAACTCTAGTTAATATGCCTACATTGTAAACACTATCACGTGAGGATACAATAAATTAATCTATAATAAGACGAGTCCCACCAAATCTAATACAACTGATCAATTTGAAAGCTAACTCGCCATCAGCAACAAACCTCACAACAGCAATGCAGATACAGTATAGGAATCAGACTTTGTAGCACTTCCAGATGCCAACTCTAGTTATTATGCTTACATTGTAAACACTATCATGTGAGGATACAATAAATGAATCTATAATAAGACGAGTTGTTCATCTTCAAAGCAAGATACATACCATCATTCAAGATTCAAGAGGCTAATCTCTACATAAAAAATTAACATAAATCCAACATCAGAAACCATAACATATAAACACACACATACAAAGAGAGAGAGAGAGAGAGAGAGGAAATACTTCTATCTCTACTCTGTTTCTCACCCAAGGTAATTAATTATGTACAGTATTTATATAAAATATTTTTACCCTATCTTTCTCCATAAAAGGACCCAAGGTGGCTTATATAAGTAAAAATTGCTAAAAACAATAAATTATTCAAATATCTAAAAAGAATTAAATAAATATTATATTAAAATAGCAGGTGAAAACATTACTAAAACAGATTAAAAAACAACAAATACTAACCACCCCAATTTTAAAACCCTCAGTCACTAAGAGAAAGTCTGTACAGTCACTAAGAGAAAGTCTGTCTGAAGAGAGCGGTCTTCACCTGCTTGAGGAACAAGATGCCTACACCACAGCTATCTGGTGCAGCAACAGAGAAGGCCCTCTTCTTTATCCCCATCAAACACACCTGTGAGGGAAATGGAACCAAAAGAAAAGCATCGCCTGATGACCTTAACACCCATGCAGGCTTATAAAGGAAGATATGATCTTTAAGATAGCTTGGACCCAAACCTTTAGGAATTTATAGGTTAAGACCAGCAATTTGAATTGTGCCTGGAATCAGATCAGCAGTCAGTGGAGCTGCTGTAACAGGATGATTATATGATTCAGGTAACCATCTTCAGTTAACAATCTGGCTGTAGCTTTTGGGACTCACTGAAGTTTCCAAATACTTTCTCCAAAGGCAGCCTCATAGAGAGTGTGTTACAGTAATCCAGCCAGGATGTAAGTAAGGCATGTGCCACCAAGGCTAGATCAGACCTCCCCAGGAACGGGCACAGCTGCTGCACTATCAGACCTCTCCAGGAACAGGCACAGCTGCTGCACTGGTTTTAACTGTGCAAAAAGGCACTCCTGGCCATCACAGACACCTGGGCATCTTGAAGCACACCCAATAAATCTTGAAGCACACCCAAGCTGTGCATGTGTGTTTTCACAGGCAGTGCAACCCCTTCCAGCACATGCAGCATCCCTGTTTTTTGATCCCCCTTTTGACTGACAAGGAGCATCTTGGTCTTGTCTAAATTTCAGTTTATTTACCCTCATAAAGTCATTACTGACATCAGACACTAATTTAGCACTTAAACACTTTCCTCGGATTGTGATGGAAAGGAGACTTGGCACGCTGGTGATAGGTAAGATAAAGGTTCCCCTTGACAATTTGTCCAGTTGTGTCCGACTCTAAGGGGCGGTGCTCATCTCCATTTCCAACCCATAAAGCTAGCGTTTGTCCGAAGACAATCTTCCGTGGTCACGTGGCCAGTGCGACTAGACACAGAACGCCGTGACCTTCCCACTGACATTGTACCTATTTATCTATTCGCATTTTGCATTTTGCATGCTTTCGAACCGCTAGGTTGGCAGGAGCTGGGACAAGCGATGGGGGTTCACTCCGTCGCATGGATTCGATCTTACAACTGCCGGTCTTCTGACCTTGCAGTACAGAGGCTTCTGCCGTTTAACCCGCAGCACCACCACATCCCTCTCTGGTGATACTGAACACCAAAATTCTGGACAACCTCTCCAGTAATTATCCAATACTGTGGAATCCAAGGAGGGCCTTTTCAATAGTGTACTTACTGTCTCCTCTAAGCATGCTGGGATCTTGCCCTGATGCAAAGAGGCATTCACCACTCCTCCTACCCACTTAGTCAGTTCCTGTCTGGAAACTTTTAGAGCGGCAAAGGTGCAACTTGTGGTAGCCTTCACCTTTCTAAGGCTGCAGAAGTTGAAGTTTATCCATTAACTCAGGACAAGCATGGGCCCTAATTACATATGCAGAACCTGTATCAACTACAGCATCCACATCAGAGCGGATCCAAGCAATTTTGCCTGCAAAGTGCTGTGCAAATTCTTCATCGTGAGCTACAGTGCAGTGTGCCTTCTTTTCTTGCAAGAGGAGCACTTGAAAAAGGTCCACTGTATGACTGTGTAAACACAATAGTGGCAGAGAAGAATGACATCTCTGCTGCCACCATGGCCATGGTTTGGTCGGATTAACTCCACATTTTCCACCACTGTTGTGTAAACACAATAGTGGCAGAGAAGAATAACATATCTGCTGCCACCATGGCCATGGTTTGGTTGGATTAACTCCACATTTTCTACCACTGCTCTAGTCTTCATCCCACTCATTTCATCATGACCAGCAATGCAATAATCCACAGGGTCAGTTTGATTCTACCTCATGGGAGGGGATGCTTAGGAGCAATCCTGTCAGCAACCCTGGCCATTTCCCACTCCAGAGCCAAACTAGAGCTTCAACAGAAATCTGTTAAGGCATTAATAAACTCTTCTCAACACCAGCCATGTGGATTCTTTATATCAGCCAGAAGTGACTGCAACCTGAAGGGACATCTCCTTGTTCTCACTAGATAAGAAAAATTAATTTGACTGATCTGGCACAACTGGCTGCATCTACCTGGTGAACAAGCGAAGTTATAACTCCAGACGTGTGCTAGACTCGAGGAGACAATTCCCCCACACACACCTCCATAAGCCAAAGAGAAACTACAGGTTCCGGGCAAGTGAGAACTGCTGGATAGCTCAGTGGCCTTGGTACCTATGCCAGAGATTGGGAATTCGCTTCCCCACTATGCCTCTTTGACTGGGGCTGGACTCGATAATCCATAGGGTCCCTTCCAGCTCTCCAGTTCTAAGATGATGACAAAGAAGAAGAAAAAGAATGTATGGGCGGTGCAATCACAAAGTCATTGGCAATGTTTTCCTCTTAAGAGCAGGGGGTGTAAAAATTCCAACCAGAGTACAAAACAGCTCAAGAGAGAAGCCTAAGGAGGACTCACATCACCTCTCAACAGACAGATACCATCAATTTCTGAACTTACCTTTTTTTTTTTTTTGCACTATCCATGGGGGGAAGCTAAGCCTGAAGACATGCAATTTTATCCAAAAAAGCTTGCGATTTGTTTAATTTTTAGTGGTCAAATAAAAGGTATCGCCCACTCTTACATTTGTAGTTAGAAAAGTGGCAGCAACCAGAATTTTTAAAAGAAAATGAGAAAGAAACTGCTTCCACCTGACTACAGTATAGAAAGCCAGAGACATGAGGGGTAAGCACATTTGTTCACATCAGACCTTAAGAACAGAAACAGACTTTAAAAAGAAAGGAACAGGGACATTTTTGCCCATGTTGGACCTAAGGACAAATCATATTTACTATTACAAGAATGAGGCTCGGTCTTGCACATTCAACTACCATTTTTGTGGCAACATAGAGTTTAACATGAAGAATTCATAAGTGGAAACCACATTTGGATTGTATTCTTACCGTATTTTTCGCACCATAAGACACACTTTTTCCCCACAAAAGAGGGGGGTGGAAAGTCTGTATGTCTTATGGAGCGAAGAAAACAGATTATATTTTCCTGTTTTCTTCTCCTAAAAAATTGGTGCGTCTTATGGAAAGGTGCGTCTTATGGAGCGAAAAATACGGTAATTCTTTTTTTAAGACAAATTTGCACAAAGCTTAGTTCACCCAACTAGAATGCAAAAGTTTGTCACAAAAGACATGGCAGGAATGGGTGACGGAGATGCAAGCTGAAGGCTCGCTTACATTATGCCAGTAAATGTGAAGAATTACACTATGCCACTAAGCATTTCTCCTGCACTATACATGAGAAAATTGTGCATTTGCTATTCTTATGCAATTACTTCAAAACCTCAAATACTCCCCTTATTCATGCATGCAAGTTAAAATATAACAAACTGCTCTCACTATATTGTTCCAGAATATTTACAAAGTTGACAGATTGTGGGATTCTTTTGTTTTTATATATGTAGTTCATTCCTAACTATAAAACAATTTCACCATGAACACAGAAGTTATGAGAAAATCTCAAGTATTCAAAAATGAATAAGTGAAAAAACAAACAAACATGCAAAATAAGTTGGAGAAGATTTCTATTTTTAATGCTACTAGAAATAACTTCACCAATTTTCAGTTGACATGCTTAGCTACAATAACTTATAATCGTAACAGCACTCAGGCATTGGAAAAGAAACCAGCAAAAGTATTTAAATTACATGGGTAAAAATAATTTCTCTAGTTTTGAATCTAAACAGGCAAGTGCTTGAACAGTCTTCAGTTGTAAACCAAATAAATAAATACTGTAACCAAACACAAAGCCAGCAAATACAGAGTCAGAAGCTATTGCTGGGAATCATTGTTTTAACACTAATCCTTACCCTCCAACTTGCTGATGGAGGCAACTAACAACAATTTTACAATATAAGGACAAAACTGTCAAAGGGATTTGCCAAATGCCAAAAGAAGACAAGTTTCAATAGGAGTCCAGGCAGCAAAAATCAACTGTTGTGTTAAAGAAAAACACAGATAAGCAACACTATATTACGCAGTGGAGGCAAAGTAAGAAGTCAGCACACAAAAACTAGCTAGCTTTTAAAATGCAGCACAATCAAAAGCCTACCTTTTGAGACCCAAAAACACACTCACAGGGCAGTAAGAGAGGGAAAAAGGGAACAAGGAAGGAAGGAACAAAACAAAATTAGAAACACACAAGAGTAGAACAGAAACTAAACAGCCACATACACACATTGAACTTAAGCACACAATAAATTTTACAAATTGAAAAAAAAGTAACTGTTAATTCAGTCCTTCATCAATATATTAAAAGTACAAAGTACTAAAACTTATCTTGTCAGTTTAATAATAAAAGTTTACATGTTACTGTATTTGAATCAATGACCATTTCATCATAAATCTAAAAGCAATGCATGCAGATTGGAAATAAAAAGAATGAAGAAAATATTTTACAAAATGTAAAGCCAGTTGAAGCTACTGTATTGATCTCAAATATGGAATAACCACTGATAGAACTATTACAAATATGAGCAGCAACCCAAGAATCTCATACTAGTAACTAGTTTGGGTTACATTATATTCTCTGTGAGTGTTACTATTTATATTTATGTTTATTTATTATATATATTTAGCTTCTTTAACAGAAGACAATCCTATTAACATCTACCACAAATGAAGGAAACACTTGGTGTGCTTTTAGCAACAAAGTCATTCTCCTACTAATCATGTCTTACCAAATACTAAATGTCTGAATGAGTTAACCAACCTTTGTTGCATTACTACAGAGACATTACTAAGCAAAATTACATAAACAATTTCATCTAGGTTAGAAGCATCTTGGAAGAATTTTTCAGGGTAATTCAGGTGTGGAAGATCCATTACACTCTAGTATAACATCGTCCCAACCATCCAGCCGAAGACTAATAACATGCACATTTTAAATTATGAATTCAGCACCATGGACAGTGGGTGTCCCAAGGACTCATATTTCGGCTTCTCTATGTGGCTTGCACTAGCTCAATTAATGCTTATTCCTTTGAACAACTAAAATCAGTATCATCTACGTCATACCACAAACTGCTTTTAAAATTCCTCTAAGTCCCAAAACTAATTCAACAAACAGAGACATATATTAGCAGAACTCACTGAATGCAAACAGTAAAGAAAGATTGTATATAATATTTTAAATAAATAAATAAGTATGAACCACACAGTGAATTGGGGAGGGATTAACTTATCAAAATATGTGGTTACTGAAAAAAGGAAGAACCATACAGAAGACCAGGTTAGCTACATTCATAGGAAATGTTCACAGAGGAAAAGAGGAACAAACAATTATACTCTGAAATAGATAAAACTGCCTTATTTTTATCCTTCAATATGCATTTACAGTCATGAAACTCTCTGTTCAACTTTCTTATTCTTTTCTTAAAACTTTAGCACCAAACTTCTGCCTTTTTTGTGTGCAGTACTACAATCATGAGAGCTCATCCATGCTAATTAACGAGATGCAGTTGTGCCAGGCATACACCCAGCCACTGTATTAGCCTCAATTCACTGCTGCTTTCACAATTGTGTTACTGCATGCAGAATAACAAGAGCATTTTGGACAAAACAGATCTGCCCTACTGCTGCAAAAATTAAACAACCATCTTATCCTCTGAATATATTCTCAAAGGCTTTTTGCCTGTCATTGTGTCACCACTGTTATGGGGCCCAGCACAAATTATACCCATGTAAAGAGGAACAAAATGGATACACTGAGCAAATAAAGCTCAGAATAATATAGATAACGCAAGTAATATTCATCCATACAAATAAGCTGTGAAGCATAGATAAAGCGAAAGAGGCTTTTTTCCCCACTGTTGATATACAGTGATATGTGATCAGAAGAATAAGCAAGTGCGCTACTAAAAATAGCGCATGGGTAACAACGTATTTTGTGGAAGACTCTATGAGGTTTCTATAAAAATAAGTCTCCATGATTGAGAGTTCCCCCCTTCTTCTGTGTTCCCTCTAAATAAAACAGAGCCATGAACACACCCATCATAATGATTTGTCAGGAAGGAACTGTAGAACTGCATTCCTTTTCATTGAAACACGAAGGATTTCTGCGGCTGAAACCCTGTTGTTTAGTGCAATAAGTCACACTATAGTAGGCCGGCTGAGTCAGTAGGAATTTGGTGACTTGCCACCTCTGTAAATTCCATTGATTTAAATGTGTCTACAGTACTTACTTTACCATAGTAAGTTATGACTAGGGCAGGCCCATTTGATTCAGTGGAAATTATGGAGCAGTTGACCCACCAAATCACCACTGATTCAATGGCTTACTCTAATGTGACTTATTATGCTAAGCAATAGGATTTCGGGCTATTGTGTACCTGGACTTTAAAAATCCTTTCAACAAAGTTCTACACCAACGGCTCCAAGCCACATCCAGAGGATAAAGGACAAAATGCTGCTGCTATTTCTTTTTCCCTATCAGCCTTCATGTCAGAGTCTATCACATTTGGATAGCTCTCCAGACTCTCAGGGTAGACTTTCTGGGGGTGGGTACCTTGAAGGAGAGAAGACTGTTTCTGCTAGTTCCATTACTTGTGCTTTTTTCAGCATCTGATCCAATGAATACAATTGCATTCAAATATAATCAAATTGTGTCAACTGAAACCTTTTAGACCAAAGTTAGAATACATAGCTTTCAATAATAGCTTATCAATGTGTTTCTACTTGCAGTATATGACAATCAATTTAAGTGATCAATTACAAATTCTCTGAAAATGTTTACAAAATTCCATTAATGATGGCACCATAAAATGTTGTTATCGCTATAAGAACTGCAGTATAGCAACTTGGTACAAACTTAAGGACCAAGAACCTTTCTTCAGTTCTAGCTTTGTTAGCCAAACAAGATGCACACACTTTTGAAACTCTGTACTTCAGTATATAAATCTACTTACCTACTATCTGTGTCTAGGCCTACAAAATCCTTCTTCTCAAAAGGAACACATAGAAGAGGGATCTTATCTCCTGATTTATCTGTGGCTCTATCTAGACGTTTGGATTCTAATACAATAAATAGAGATTCAATGAAGTCTTCTATTCTCTTTTCTACATTTTCACATTCATCATAGTTAGGATAGAATGCCACATCAGTACGAGGCTGCTCTGCAATTTCTCCCTGAAGCCCAAAGACAAACAGCCGGGAATCATAAAGTGTGGAACCGTATATTTCCTTCTGAAGGTGAAATTTTTCAAAGGTCTGAGGCCAATCTTTTCCTGAGGAACAGTCCGTAATGGTTATGAGTCCAACCACTTTGCGATGTGTCTGAAAATCCCCCCATTCATTGTTCTCTGGCGGATAATGATGTCTGTAGCGGATATAAAGCACACGTTGAGAGTCGCGGACGTTTATCTGACTCACAGTGGAGATCCGCTTGTAGATCTTAAAAAAGCTCTCTTCAGGAACAATTCCAACTGGCTGAACCACAACTAGCAATGTTTGATGGTCCTCTGCACACTGCATGTAGTCTGGGACACTCATCTTGCCTCATGTATGCTAGTAAAAAAAGAAAATGAAAAAAAAAGAATTATTTCTATATTATCATGGGAAAGCACACAGATTAAATACATGGTTTGGGTATTTGGGTCTATTTACCTTGAACAAACTAGCAAATATTTGCTAAGCACAAATCCCAGACTGGATGTCATACATCATATTTTGTTAAACTCCTCCCTTGCACTTCTATGTAAAACCTTCCAGCAAAAAGAGGTGCATTGCAGCTCCTGGAAGCCTCCACCCACAGGTGGAGGTAACAGAGTCCCCTGAACTGTTTAACATCTCAAAATATCCATGTTTCAAAAACAGAACTGTACTTGTCACTTCTGGTTCCATTTTTGACATTTCTGGCTCTCTGTGTGCCCCTGTAGCATTCCACAGAGAGAAAGTTGGCCCATGAAATTCCAAAGTTTTCTATCCCATACCTAAGAGATCAGTGAAAACAAAAACAAAAATCAAGATAACCCCTGACATGAGAAAAAAAGGAGAACTAGGTGAGAATAGAAGCAAAAAAAATCAATCTAAAATGGGACATCATAGGTGACAAAAACTATTCAACATGAAGAACTAGAGACTGGTACTGTTTTGGCAAAGTCAACAAAGTGGCAGCTCTTTGCTACTAAAGCATAATGGATTTTTTAAAAAAATGCTGATGTTTTGAACCAATGTAAGGGTCTAGGAAACACATTATTCAAGAGGGCTCCACTTGAGTAGAGAAAGAAGACAAACTTGGTGCTGAAAGTCAAACAATACACCACATAGGTCAGGCATGATGTTGCCCCTTGGTTGCTTCCATACCATTTATTTATTTATTTATTCATTCATTCATTCATTCATTCATTCATTCATTCATTTATTCATTCACCCGCACATCTAGACCAACATCTACTCTGGGCAGCTAACAACATTCAAGAATAATAAAAAACAAAACAACATTAATACAATTGAAAACAACAAATAAATTCTAGTGGATGGACCAAGTTATATTCTACTGAACAGATAGGGTCAACATTAAGAAGCTTGTGAGGGCTTTGGTGATGGCTTTGTCAAAAATGTTTCATGATTCCTGACTACCAAGAGGTCTTGCTTAGAGATACCCCGAATTGGCACCCATTACAGAAGGGAAAGTTCAGAATAATTTTGTACAGCTGGACGCTTTTCTTCTGAAATTTAATTTGTAATATGCACCACATAACATTGTTTACCTATCCCAGAGTCAAGAGATACATGTTTAAGAGCTGTTAAAACCTGATTATAATGGGTGGACACAAAGGCCTCAAAACCACCAAATAGAGTTACAAGTAAAACCATTATATATAGGTGTATGGGATGAAAAGCAACACATATTTGAGAATAAATCTGAAAAGTTAAAAAGAAAAAGGCCAGTGTGCATTTTTCTCTTCCTAAGGAGTTCAACAGGAGTTCTAAACTTGTGATATGTATGGGCTTCACAAATTAGATGCAAAAAAAAAATCATGCTTCTTTACTCCATAAAATAAACTGCATACAAAACTTTATACAGTATATTCTTTTGTCCATTTGTCCGGAGAAGCGGCCTGTTAGCCTTCATTAGATTCCCAAAGGGATCGATCACCACAAAAATGGCTAAAAATAGCTGAAGTAGAGGGTGTAGAAAAACAAAGACAACAGATCTCATGTGTCTTTAATAAGGGTGTATTAGTATATTTCCCACAGAATACCTGAAGTTTCTGTTGTCAGGAGAGAACCAATTAATAACACAGTCCGCGGCTAAGTTTTTATTCTCAGTTTTAAGAATTCGTAAAATGTTATATTAAGACAACCACATGACTCAAGTTTTATCCTCACAATATGTTATAACAACTTACTTATTCTGTATATTTTGTACTGTATTATGTTTTTATCTTTGAATTTTTGTGGTCTATGACCGTATGATAAAACTTAACTTTAATAGGGGCCCAGAAGATGAAATTGAAGCTCTTTCATCTAAGGACAAAAAACCGAACCAAACCAAACAACACATGGTCTAGCTGAAATTCTTCAGGTGCTTCTCCTTTTAAGCTCTCTACCACTGGAAGAAGTAAATGCACCCCCATCTTGGAGATGAGGTGAAGAAGAGATGGGATTTCTAGAAGCAAATAAGCTTCTTAATCATAACAACCCACTCCTGCTGTTGCGGCTATGCTGCACTTCTTACCTCTCAGCATTCCTGGTGCAAAGTGTCAGGCTTATAAATAGTGAGCAGGGGATGTTTGCAAACTCCCCCCCCCCAATTTTTGAATTTCAAGAAAACAACGAAGAGCTTCCTGCCATGTTTTAAACAGGCAAACCAAGGACTCCAACTGCGGAACTTTGTAGGGGGGAAAGAGGATGACCTGATCTTGCTTCCCTCGTCTTTTAATTCCATGTTTTTTTAAAAAAAAACTTTTTGCCTTAATGGATGCAACTGTTTTACTATCTAGAATTGTAGGTGGTGTTTACGGCTGTAAGCTGCCCAGATTTGATGGGGTGGGGATACAAATCAAAGAAATGAATAAATAATTGGTACTCCTATGATTATGATTATTATGAGAGTGGTCATCTGACCAGATAGGCGGGGTAAAAATACAATAATTAACTGAATAATTTACTGAAGACAGGAGGGCCGGGCGTGCTCTGGTCCATGGGGTCACGAAGAGTCGGACACGACTTAATGACTCAACAACGATTATTACTACCATGATTCCCCGAAAATAAGACAGGGCCTTGTATTAATTTCTGCGCCAAATCTGCATTAGGGCTTATTTTCAGGGGGTGTCTTTATTTTTTCCCATGTACAATCATCTACATTTCTTCAATTACAGTTCCTGTCATCGTCTTCTTGTTGCTGCACAAGGGTGGAAGGCGGGGTTTCACTACACTGGGGCTTATTTTTGAGGTAGGGTTTATATGACGAGCATCCTGAAAAATCCTACTAGGGGTTATTTTCAGTTTAGGGCTTATTTTTTTCGGGGAAACAGGATACTCCCATTACTCCTACTCTTTACTCCTCTCGTGATTCGAGGGCGAGAGGAGGAAAAAGAGCGGGAAACGACTCCTTCTGAGGCGAACAGCTGTGAGGTAAAAGCTTCATGGAAAACCAGTGAGGTCATCACTGTGGTTTCGTTCCAGAGTCCATTAAAGTTGGTCAAGCAGCACAAAAGTGTGTTATGTAGTTACTGGCTCCCCAAGACAAGTGGCATTAGAATGATTCACTCGGCTGTAACCCTGGGTTCTGGGCTTGCTCACCCAACACAGCCGGCTCGACGCAATGGCTCCGCCTCTTCCTCCCGCCTACAAGTAGGAAGCGGAACTCCGCTGACCGATGGGAAGGAGGGAAGGTGTGGCAGAAACCCCACCGCCTTCACTGCGCCTGCGCTTGTGGGAGGGGGCGCCTGGAGGGGCGGGCTCGGTGCGCATGCGCCCTTCCGCCCGCCCGCGGCGACAGGCCTGCCCTTCCGAAACGTTCTAAGAGCGCGACGTCGGCGGAGGAGAAGAGCAAGACCCGCAGGCCTCAAGCCTAACGGTCACTACCATCTCGCAATATATATGTATATATTTTAAAAAAAGGAATTCCCCTCAGAACATATAATGGGAAGTACGTCTCCCCCTCCTTCTCCCAACACAAAGGGGCGCTCTTTCAAAGCGAAGTTTCCTCAGAAAAACATTTCAAACGTCGGGAGACGCGTCCTGGCGAAATGCCTCCTGGGACATGTAGTGTTTCCTCTCAAGAAGAGGAAAGGGCCGGCGGGCGGGGTCCGAGCCAGGGTCGCAGTGCATTGTGGGACAGATACTCCTTTCTTTCTTTCTTCCTCCCTCCGTCCCTCCCTCGGAGCCTCTCGTGAGAGGGGAAACTACGAATCCCACAAGGCACCGCGGAGCTTCTGGGGGAGGGGCGCGCGAGTGCGCGTGCGCAACGGCCACGGATGAGCCGGAACGATAGAAGATGGCGGCCAGGTTGAAGGGAGGAGGAGGCGGCGGCGGGGACCAAAACAACCGGCTCGTGTCGCTGCCTTTGTCTCGGATCCGAGTGATCATGAAGAGCTCGCCCGAAGTCTCCAGCATCAACCCGGACGCTATTTTCCTCACCGCTAAAGCGACGGTAGGCTTCGCTCGGGGGAGGGGAGGGGGTTCAGGTTCAGCTCTTCCGTGGCGCATGGGCTACCCTTCTGGAGCAGCCAAACGGGAGCGTAGCCCGCAGGACCCCCGGATCTCCAAGGGGTCGGTGGCAAGCCCCCAGCGGATGGCGGGGAACGCGGATAACAGCAAACGCTAGAGGTATATCGCAAGGAGGGCAAGTTCCGGTAACGCTGTTGTAGAAACAGCATGCACTCTGGCTCCTCTAGTGTCCAACTCTGGTAACTTCACCTTTAGAAATATATGTACATTTGTAGGCTTTTGGGCTTACTATTTTTAATATTTTCAGATGGTGGAGCAGCGGATACTAATCCCATGAATACAGAGGGCCTCCTGCACATGTTTCTGGGAGGGTTTGGTATTTTCAAACAGCAGATGAGTGAAGCAGTGGATACTAGTCCCGTGGAATTGGGGGGGGGTCCTATTGTTCCTTCTTTTAGAAACCAAAGGGTCAACCATCAGGAGGAAAAGGGCCATTTGTTCTTTGAAGAAAGCTTTTAAGAATTGAACAGGACAGCTGGGTTTTGTTCCTGTACTCCTTTCCTACTTTTTTGGCCTTCTTTGTATGTTTGAGGTTCTAACTATACGCTACCTCAGTCATGCTGTTTGCATCCACTTTGTTAAGTGCGACCTGGGTCCACCTTCTTTGTCAAGTGTTGGAATATGACGGTGTCCTGCTTTTCCTATGACAGGAAATGCAACAGGAAGCTGCAAAACGGGGGCCAACTTGGGTACCCAAGTAGGATGGGCCATACGATCTTTCTGAAAGCATTCCTGATACGGAAGCCACCTGTTGCTGGAAGAGATGCTGCTTGGTTTTTCTCTGAATTGAGATATTAAACACTTACAATCCTTAACTACATGAGACGAGACAGTGAGTGGTGGAGACAGAAAGAAGTGTGCAACATCTTTACTATTGTTGGATAATAAAATACTTTCCTTTTCTAAATACTGACATTCACAGCATCCACAATACTGGGTTTTAAACCTGTCATTTCACTGCATGCATTTAGTGGGTCAGGCTTTTATGTAACCACATACATGCTTAACTGGTATATTTCTTTATTATTTAAAATATTTTACCCTGCCTTTCTCCTTAAAAAGGACCCAAGGTGGCTTACATTTACTAAAAGACAGAATTTAAAACTAACAACAGTGAGTATACGAGTGCTAACAAGAATCAAACAAATCCAAAGTACAAAAGATAAACAAAACCACACATTTAAAACAGTATGATACAACAGTCAATTAAAAAACCTCACTAAGGCAGTCATTCACTGAGGAAAAGCCTGCCTGAAGATAAAGGCCTTCACCTGCTTGTGGAAGGACAATAAATATGGGGCCAGCTTGGCCTCCAGTGGGAGGGAGTTCCAAAGTCTGGGCGCGGCCGCAGAGAAGGCCCTCTTTCGTGTGCCCTGCATACACACCTGTGAAGGTGGTGGGAACAAGAGAAGGGCTTCCCCTGGTGATGTTAATACCGGTGAAGGTTCATAAAGGGAGATACATTCTTTGAGATAGCTTGGATCCAAGCCTTTAGGGCTTTATAGGTTAAAACCAGTACTTTGAATTGTGCCTGGAAATGGATCAGCAGCCAGTGGCTTATGTGATTCTTGTGACCAGCCCCAGTTAGCAAACTGGCTGCTGCATTTTGGACCCACTCAAGCTTCTGAGCATTTTCCATGTTTCCAGAGAGTGTTACAGTAATCCAGTGGAATCTAAATGGGGCATCGCTAAGGTATATAACTGGTATGTTTTAAAGAACTTTAATGAATGACCTCACTACCAATGTTTGCAAGAATGTGGCCTTCTTAGTTTTTGAAAGGTGACTGAGGCCCGGGCAAAAGATAGTGACATAAAAGCACATATTCTTTTTATCCTCAGGAGCTGTTTGTTCAGTATTTAGCGGCACACTCCTATAAGCATGGCCAGGGCAAGGAGAATAAAGCCCTAACTTATAATGACCTGTCCCGTACAGCAGAAAAATCTGAGACTTTTCAGTTCCTAGCAGGTAAGTCTGTTAATAAAACGGAGAGAAAATTGTTTCTGCTGGAGGGAGGATATGTACTAGTTAATTGCAGCTTTTGAGCCACACTGAGGTTATTTTTACTGTGCTGGCTGTGGGCGGCAAAGCTTCAGGCTCTGAACAGAATCGCTAATACGTAGCTTAAATGTGCAATTCATCCCTGCATGGCCTGTGACATTTCATGGTTTTGAATCATTTGTATTAAGATCCCCCTTGATTTTTAAAGCTACTGAATTACAGAGGCTGTCTGGTGTTTGCAGTTGAAGCAGCTTGGGTTCAAGTACCCACCGAGCTGTGAACTTCACAGGGTAATTGTGGGAGCCTAACCTTCCTCATAGGAGAGTTGTGAAATAGATAGTAAAGAATTGTATTGGCTACCGGAGAAGCTCACAAATTAGAAGGTGCTTGGTAATCAATATTGATTTATCTTCATATTATCACAAGCTCTAAACTTGTTGTGATTGGGTTTGTTAAAGATCTGAAGCAGTGCCTCTTTTTTGGCAGGAAATGATGACTGAGTCTCTTTTTGAACGTTAACAGATTAATTTAACATTAGGTGAATCTACAACAACTTCTATCGGTTCAAGACAACTAAGATCTGGTAACTGTCCAAATTGTGAGGACGATAACTCTGTCTGGAAATAAGACAGGATTCATTGAGGGGCTGGCCCAAAACGTTCCCGGTCGGTGGGCTTCCTCAGCGGAGCACTCCGGACCACACATATTATCCCACAACAAGGGTGTCTGGCCCAATCTCCCTCAAGCGGTGGATGGTTGAAGGATGGGGTCTGGCTGAATCACCTTCCTCGAGTGACCTTGTCCCGGTGGAAATTCATGTTAATACAGTGGTGCCTCACTTAGCGATTGCTCCATTGAGTGATGAAATTGCTTAGCGATGGGGTTTTGGCCATCGCCAGAGCGTTCGCTTCACGATGGCCCCTATGGGGGGAAATCGCTTTGCGATGATCGTGGGGAAGCGATCATGGCAAAGTGACCCTTTTTGCAGAGCTGATCTGCGGTTCCAAAATGGCCGCTGGAAAAACAAATTGGCCGCCCACTGTTTTGCCTCGCTTTAGAGGCACTGAAAATGGCCGCCCCATGGAGGATCTTCGCATAAGGCCAGTTTTTAAGCCCATAGGAACGCATTAAACACGTTTTAATGCGTTTCTATGGGCTTTTTAAAATCGCTTAGTGATTAAATCGCTTAGCAATGTTTTTCCTGGAACGGATTAACGTCGCAACGCGAGGCACCACTGTACATAATACATTACATAATACAGAATGTTAAAGAACCTGTGGCTTCGTTTGAAACCACTTTGGGTGTAAGAAGAGCTTATACAAGGAAGTGGGCATCAAGAACAAACAAAACAGGAGTTGACCGAAGTTAGCTTTGGATCTGCTGGTAGCTGTCTGGTGATTTAGAGTAGCAAAGAGCTTGTGACTTCAAAACACTATTTTTGACTTGTAAATTAGGCTGCTGAAATGAAGAAAATTTATGAGGATATACTAGTACAGTGACGGCAAACCTTTTTGGGCTCGTGTGCCCAAAAGGGGGGGGGAGAAACTAGGAAGACCGGAAGTGGCAGTTGCAGGGGGAATCATAGCGACGGACGCAGAACAGGGAGAGAAAGGGGGAGGAATCATGGTGATGGACGCACAACAGGAAGAAAAAGGGGGAGGAATCATGGTGACAGACGCAGAACAGGAAGAGAAAGGGGGAATCCCGGCTGCATCCATTTCAAAAGGTTTCTATCCACAAGGGCGGGTGAGAGGACCACTAACGTCGCGTGCCAGAAGAAAGGGTTTTGCGTGCCACCTGTGGCACGCGTGCCATAGGTTCACCATCACTGCACTAGTAGATCACGTGTATAATTTTGTATACTCAATGGACAACAAATTCCTGACTGAACAGGAGATACCTTCCCTTCTTGAACCATCACTTTGCAAACAGTGGACCTTGGAGCTCTAGTGAAGAAAAATTTCAATGAAAAGAGGAAAAATCTGTTCTTTTAAAACAAATCTTGTAATGGGCTATGTGTAAAGCTAGTTGTTTTATAGTGGCTCAAAAAGTGTTATTTAATGAATATGATCATTTTCCAGATATCTTGCCAAAGAAGATCTTGGCTAGCAAATACCTTAAAATGCTGGAGAGAGAAAAAGAAGGAGAACAAGAGGAGGAGGAGGAGGAGGAGGAACAAAAAAGTGAAACTGAAAGTGATGATGATGAAGCATCTTAAGGATGAAAAGTGATGGTGTGCACCGTGTCCTTGTTCTATAAACGTTTTAGATGATTTCTGGCCACTTAAATTCTTGCTATCTCTGTCTTGGTTGAAAACTAAGACTTCAGCATCGGTTTGAATATGTACACGGACCATTTTCTTTTGTATCTTATGAACTAGCTTTTTCAAAGACTATTCATAGCATACCAGATGTTCTTGTCACAAGAACGGTGTCTCTACAATAGAGAAGTTATGTCTTCTCTGCCCACATTGGGCAACCTCAAGGTCATGTATTTTTCTACTTGCCAAAGCTATGGCTCTTCTCTGTGAGCTAAGGCAGGCCTAATCTTTAATGTTTTTTGTAAAAGAGAGCTGTTACTTACTTGTTTCATAGAAGACAGTCTACAATGTTTTTTGTAAAAGAGAGCTGTTACTTGTTTCATAGAAGACAGTCTATTTCTGTTAATAAAGATTATCTGATCCAGTTGAGAACAGAAGTGTCTCAGTATTTAGATTTGTCAGTTCAGAAATGCAGTGGACACTACATTGCATGTTCTCAAAGGTGAGGGAGGAACAACCCAGCTGCTGCCTGTAAATATGAATGTTATGGAGGTTTTCAATGTATGCTTAATGTATATAGGACTGACATGTTATTTTTTATATATATGAAACATGTAAGAGCTGTTTACTGTTCCAGTAAAAGAACAATGTTTTGTTACAGCAGAAGCTTTAATACTTTATAAATGCAGAATAGTGGAAATTTTTACAACCTACGTGCATGCCCTTCGTATGATAAAATGGGTGTTTTCCGTTGAAAGGCCTTGAATAGAATAAATCATAGAATGATGAAGTTGGAAAGGACTGTTGAAGCCATCTGGTCTAACCCCTGCTCAGTGCAGGAAATCCCATGCTGAGACTTTTTGCTACGATGTGTATCTACCTCCACAATGTACTTGTAAAACATATTACACAAGATAGAGGAGCAAATCTATTCTGGAGGTTTTGTAGTGAGTTTTTAAAAGTTGTGTTCAGAACCCAGCAGTGTGGCATGCGCTCAGGTTAAGATTCACTCCTTAAAATGGTTTAATGGCATTTTGTACTCCCTTTACAACTTAGCCCCTTTAATGGGCCATTTAATCAGTCTTTTCCTTTGTTCAAAAGAGCCTTTTGCCAGAAATTTCACTTCATACAACTGAAGACAGAAAGCCCTTCAGTTTCACTGTGATGTAGAGCCAAATATCTGGATGTGGCCCAAAAGGGGTAGTTAGACCAGTTAAAGGAGTGAAACACCTTTTCCTAGAGGAAAGACTGGTGCACAATATGGACCCTTTTCATGAATATTGTTAAGGAATTACGTGATTTCTAGAGTATCTTCTTGCATTACCTGATTAGATAGGTTTGAAAGATTATAAAATTAAGTACATGATGGGTAGACAAATGGCTCAGTTATCAGATATGTGTCATGAGTTTATAGTAGGTATGGGCAGTCTCTGGTGACATTTATGGCGGCTTGCCACACTTCCCATTTTGCCTTAGGCTGCAACCGAGACCACAATATTTTGCTGTGATTTTTTTTTTCAAGAATATTGAGAAAGGACAAAGCTCACACAACAGCAAGAATAGCGAGAAGACCCATGACCAGTTTTATATCTTTCTACACATTGGAGGAAAATGTGGAAGAAACATACCAGATGTTTGCCATAGCTGGGCAAGCAGGCAGCATCCTTTTCTTAAGACTTGTGAAACCATGGCTGGCTGCTGCTGGTTAATGCTTTCAAAAAGCATTCAGTGTCCTGGCAGAGAAGGGGCAGCCCTAGCCCAAATGAAGCAGGGAAGATTTCTGAAAACACCCATTTGCTTAGTTCCAAGAATTGCAGCGGCAGGGAGGGTGAGGATCCTACCCCCATGAATCTTTGAGAGAATGCGGTGCTTGAGGACACAAGGAACTTTTTTACCCATGCTCCGTAGAATTGCCATGTGTATCAGTACAGAATACAATTCTGTGAGTGTCATGAAAACTGCCACATCCATGTTCAAAGAGAGAGAGAATACTGTAGGCCTTTTGGGGAACAGAATGCTGATAAACTTCAGAGAAGAGTGAATAAAAGTATCTGGAAATCTGAACAGAGTAACTTTGGAATGCTACAAATGTGGAAACTTCTTCACCAGTCCTATCAGCTTCTGATCTACACACCATAAACCACAGAGAGGGTGGCCTCTGAGGCAGGCCTGTTTCTGCTGTTATTGGTGAAAGGATAACGATAGTGAACCAACCTCTATGCTGTTCTCTTGCCGGATACAGTACCACTGTTTGTTAGGGGTGTTGGGGGAGAGTTGCACGTTCCATAATGCGCTTGCTCTGGGTGGTGCTTTGTTCCATATTTTCTGGGGAAACTAAGAATGTACTTGCTGTCATCCTCTCATGGTATAAAATTATTTCCATTCCCAATACCTGTATTGTTTAAGCTTTTACATTATTCTCTTCCTTAACATTTCACAGAACATGCTACTACTTTTATCAACTCCCAAGCCTACAACTTGGTTGAAGTTTTGAAAAAGTTGTCTCCTTTAACATACTTTTTCAACCTTTGATCTCAAATAACTCTCAGGATTCTTAATGACATCGAAATCTACCTGTCACACAGCTGATTATCCCACATTTGGAGTGCAACTTTCAGTAATTAACAACTTGATTGTTCCATTCCCAAGCTAGCAATACATTTGCCACTTTGTCAGCATCATTCCCCACCACCACAGGAATATAAAAACAGATATTCTGCCCCTTGTGTAGATTTAACCCACATAAACTGGCACTGAAATAAATCTGATAGTCTTTAAGGTGCCACAGTATTTTGCCCCTTTGTTTTCTGTGTTTTACCATTTCCTCCATTATGTCAACATGGGTGGAATTGCCAACAGCCCCATTAATTGAGCTTCATCATCATAAATTCCTGAGTCATTTAAGAAATCAATTGGAAATTTTTCAACTATCATCACTATTCGTATTCTTAAATGGTAGGTTGAGCATATAACTGTATCTACTTGTAGACAGACACACTACAGTACTGTCCTTGTTTTTATGAAAGTATGTACAACCTGCTTTTTGATAAATCAGTGTCACTATAGTATTAAGGTGTTTTTTTTTCAAAAACTGAAAGGCACAAGTAAAACTGCACATACCAGCAGCAAAGTTATTACGTGTCATCAAGTTGTGTCTACCTTGGTGATGACCCCATGAATGAGTGATCTCCCAAAGGCCTCTTGTTGACAGTCTTGACTCAGCAGCAGGAACAGTTGGTCGTAATGCACAGGCTAAAGCACCTGAAACGTTCTCTGCAAGAGGACTGCATTCAGCTGGCATGCAAATACCAAGTTAAAAAGATGAAGGGAAACTGTCCACTTACAATTTCACTGCTGCCGCCAGCCCCGCAGTACCTTCCTATCACACCGTTGTCTGCAATCGATTACCCAGTCCTGGCAGGAGGTGTAATGACTAGCCTCTCTGCTAGGTCAGAGAGTGGCTAAGCCATTGTGGAGAACAGCGCTAAGTCAAGCCGCCGCGGAGCCAGTGGTGGCGGCGAAATTGTGAGTGGACAGTCCGGCCCCATGGGGGGGGACCCTTGTTATTTCCACCTGTGCAGGGATATTCAAATACGAATACCCCCCATCTCTACTCCACATCGTTCCCTAGCAATAAAAATTGACTGTGGATGACACTGCCATCTCATAATTGTGTATCTGTCTACAAGCAAGTACAATCTTGCAGATGGTTTGGAGATAAAGTGGTAGGGAGGATGGAACATAACCATCCTAAACAGCTTAGATCAGTCATTCTCAATTCTGGGTCACCCAGGAGGTGTTCCTGGACTGCAATTCCCAAAAGCCTTCACCACCAGCTGTGCTGGCTGCGGTTTCTGAGAGCTGTAGTCCATCTGGGGACCCAAGGTTGGGAACCACTGGCTTGGAGGAAGGATATGTACACAAAAAGTTACTTTAAATTACCTGGCAACTAAATTTTACTATGGATAATAGAATAGGATACATTGAATTTGTAAATAGGAGTAATTTATTGACATACTATGAGGCAGAAACAAAATTGACACCATACAAAATAACTTTATAAAATATTCACATATTTCATCAAGATTTCCATCAATTTGGGCTTGTTACATATCTTATGGTATAGAGGTAAAAAAACAACAAAAGCGACTAAAGTTTAGTAGTTTATCATACACACATACACAAGAAACCAAAACAAAAGTGAGTTTGTCATGAGTTTATTGCAGAAGTAGTGCAAAGTATTCTTTAGCAAGCTGTAAAACAAAATGGAAAGAGGAAAACGCCCAAGCTGGAACACAAGACAATAAATGTTGAATTTCACAGTCTTCTGAAACTTCCTTCCAGAGTTTCATTCCTTTCCTCTCACACACCTGTAATTATAATTCCCTCTTTATCCATGTTATCATTCATTCCAGGAATGAAATCTAACCATTTGTTTGTTCTGAAGGAAACTTGATCTAAAGCTTCCACGCAACAAGCCATAGGTTGATTCAAGTTACATAGATACTAACTCTGTTTCTCTACCAGGGGCAGGATGGCATAATAATTTGGCTCAGCCTTTCCGTTATTTTGTCCTAACTGACCTCTTAGCTTATTCCTTGGTCAAGATACAATTATTACAGGCCCAAGTCTAAGACTGCTTTTTCTACAGTTAGAAAGTAACAAGCAACCACCCATCTAAATCTTCTTCAATAAGTCTAAAAGCAAGCATACAGGCCAGGACAGAACATATACTGTCTCTTTTAAAATCCTATTATCCTTTTTTTTTTTTGTCCCACTACACGTGGACTCTACAACGCAATGCAGATCTGATAGGAACACACACCAGTAAAGGATAAGAGTATCTATGAATTGGAGAGAGGCCAACCATTTAAATTCGTCAGGGAATCCAACAAGCAGAAATTAAAACCCAGTTAGCCAGTAATGACGACAAAACTAATGAAAGCGAAACAGAATGCTCTATGAAATAAAAAGGAACAAAATGCAGCATATTCAGGCTCTGGTTTCAATCTTGAGGTACCTGTAAAAGTCATCTCACCGCCTGCCCCAAATAATATGGTAAATTAAAAACATTTCAAAATTCCTTACCATAAGCCAATTTACAGGACATTATTACTGAGAAAGTGCAATAATGCTGATCATTTATATGCAGCATATTAAAAGGATGGTTACTCTTTTATAAAATATAGCTTTAGTTATAGACCCGATGGGGCAGTTTTGTAACACACATTTTTTTTCCTGTTGACTGAGTCTCTCTGCAGCAAAAAAATAAAAAATAAAAAGAAATCTCCTTTAGCATATCGTTTACATCCTGCCACTTAGGAATGTTGGTGCTTTGTT